GCGGTTGCGGATGCTTGCGGACGCTTGCGGACGGTTGCGGACGGTTGGGAACGCTGAGACCACGGGTCGCGAACAAGGCTCTATACCCCAGACCCCCAGAGTCAAACGAGAACCCTTTGCGACGCATTCGGGAAAAACAAAAAAGAACACAACGCTCCCAGTATGTTTGGTGCGCGCAACACTGTCAGTGGAATGATGCCCATGCGTCTTTTTGGCTGTCTTCTCTGACGAGCTTGTGGCTCATAAAACGCAGAGTGTGAAAGAGTTGTAGTAGCAAGTGAGCAGACTGTCGTCATGGCGGCGAAAGCGAAAGCCGTGGCCAAAGCAAAAGCAAAGCCGACTGAGGACACAAAAGCTTTCTTTAGTTGAGTTAAATGTTGCCTCTGCCTTTGGGTTTTGACGACAAACCGCGGACCCCACTTTGGTGTCAAGAAAATGGTTCTATTCCTGAAGCCGCAGTTTGTGGCCTCGCTAGTCCGGGAGATGTTGGGAATAGGTCGCGGACAAGTTAAGGCTTGTACGTGCAAAGGTCAACTGCCCTTGGCTGTTTGTCCAGTTTGTTTTTTGGACAGGTTTGCAAGTCTAGGAGCCTCGCCGGTTGTAGTAGATGGCTCAAAGTATTTGATCAAGATGATACTGACGTGGACCTCTGTCTCTGAGGGGGCGCAGTTGTCGCATGTCTTCAGCGCAGTTGGCAGAGATACAGCGCAGGATAGCGAACGTGTCAAGGCGCTTGCGAAGGATGCAAGAGCGGACACAGCGACGTGCCCGCGTCCTCCGACTTCAAACCCTGCTGGTGTACATCTATTCAGGACATCAGTCCGATGTGGCTGCCCGTTTCTGGGTTTCTCATACAGGAACCTCCTTGTCCTTGGGCGAGGCTGCCGCTCATGTCGAGTGGTTGTACATCAGTGCCAGTGTTGACGAGAAGGTGGAGATGATGCTCAATCCCCGGTGCAGTCTTGGCCTGCGTCCTCTCATGGTGGCCTTGCGGTTCATCGTGGAGCTGCAGCTTCTCTCTTGGGTCCAGTTCCAGAACTACGAGTGTGGAGTCGCTCCATCACGAAAGATGTTGCTTGATCATGCTCAGTCTTGTGTGCCCAAGGATCTGCCTCCATCCCTCACTGCCCGATTGCTCCGCCCTTTCAAAACTGCTAGCGCAAGGCCTTGGCTGCTTTCAGAATGAAGCATCGGTGCAAACTTGGAAAATTGCGGTCGGAGGCTCCCATCCCACTAGCTGAGAAGCAGGACAAGGCAAGAGTCGGTCGGGCCGGAGACCGTGCGCGATGATTGGAGACTTCAAACAGCATGAAGTGTTGGGGTCGCTAAGCCCTTGCTGCGTTCTTGCCTCACTTCGCGGGTCTCATTTTGGGGTCAGGAAAACGGACGCCGAAAAGGTGTCCGCATTTTATGATCAGTGAGAGCGCGTAAGGACATTTTTATTTGTGGGGTGCATGGGCGGGCCAAAAAGGGACCCCAAAACGGGGGACGGAAAACGGACCTCAAAAGCGGGTACAGATTTGATGATTTTTTGGCTACTGCAGGCTCTGGCGTTCTACCAGTGGTGCAACTATTGGCAAGCGAACACAGAGCGCGAGCCCTTGCTCATCAACATGGATGAGTCAAGCCTTGCTTTTCATTGGAGCGGCTTAGCTGGAACAGTTGCGGAGGCAGCAGTGAGTGTGGCGACAGACAAGGCGAAGCTCAGCAGCCGAAGGGCGCGGGTGACGTACCTTTGTTGCATCACGCACGACAGCACAGTGCAACCGTTGCTCCCGCAAGTGTTGCTGGGCAATTCTCGGTCCTTCCCCTTAGAGTTTGTGAAGCAGGCTGCAGAAGTTGAACCGGGCATTACTGTTTGGCGGGAAAAATCCGCTTGGAACTCACACAGGTTGATGCGGAAGTTCCTCCGGTTGCTGTGTGCCCGTTTGGGCGACTTGTTGAAGACGCGCAGCGTGGGCTTATTGCTCGATTTCGCTCCGTGCCATGTGCATGATTCGATTTTTGAATTGGCCCGAAGCGCGGGGCTGCGCTTGTTGTTTGTCCCCCCTGGCATGACGCCACTCCTGCAGCCTTGTGACACCCACTGCTTTGCAGCCTTCAAAAATAACGCCCAAGAGAATTGGAGGGTGAAGAAGAGTGAAGCTGGTGGGCATCCAACTCTGTTGATGTGGTTCCAAGCTGTGGCAGCTGCAGTCCATGACCTTGTTCATAGAAGTTGGGCTCGGGCCT